CGGGCCGCACAGCAGGAGGTGAGTGGCAGGCGGGCGGCAAAGCTTCACCTGCCGCTGCCCGTCGTCGCCTGCGTCACTGTCTGCACCATCCCTCCCCACCCCCGTCCGCCTGCAAAAACCGGTCCCTGGTGCCAGAAAGGTTGGGGACCGCTGCCCTGGAACACAGCAAGGTCACGCCTACTCCGGGGTCTTCACAGACGCTGCCCCTTCACCCGCAACTCTGCCCTCAGTTCTGCCCAGGGCCGCCTGCCGTTGAGTCTCCGCTTAACTTAAGGGGCCTCCTCCCCCAGCGGCCCTCATAGTACACGACCCCGTATTACTACCTTCCGAACACCTATGCTGACTGTCGGCCTGCTCCACCTGCAAGGAGGGCCCGGGGCCCGTCTGTCTCATTCACCATCTTGCCTCCGGGGCCCCAGATACGCAGACGGGCCCACACCACCCGGACGACTTCCTCTCCGTCTTCACGTGAAAAACGTTTACGAAACCTTTCAAGGTCCATCCTGTACCTAAAGGCTCCAATCACAAAACTGTGAATTAAAATTAAGGCTCCGTCAACGAGTGAATTAATTTATGTTGTGCTATTTGTCTACCGTGAAGTTCGGTATAAGCAAACGAGGAACAGCTGGCAGCCTGCAGGCTTCTCTTTGCTGCCACCGCTAATGAAACTGAGCAAGCGTGGAAGCCGTTTCCGGGGACAGCGCCGCCACTGGCGTCCTGGTGCCAACTCAGCAGAGTCAGGCCTCCAACTACGTGCCCGCCGTCACCCTCTCGTACACGGCATTTATGACACTGAAATGCGTACACGTGTACGTATGCACGGATAAAGACAATGGGACATGCTCTCAGGCAAATAAATACTGCTTGTAAGTTACTTGTCCTGAAGCAGCAGAAGACAATAAAATAAATATCTGAAAAGGCTGTAAAATCCAGTATTTAAATCTTTGTTTTTTAAAGAGTGACTTACATGTGCTACGTTGGCCGGCCGGCTGATCTGCTGAATGTCAGCATTATTAGTGATATTTCGCAACGTCCGCACAGCTGGACTCCAAGCGGCTATCATCTCTGACCTTTCGGAACTCTGGAGGCTTTGTCCTGAAGCCATTAAGTTACCGCGGACCTCGGGGGGCAGGACGTTCCCTGGGACGGGCGGCACGTTGGCACACAAGTTAATTAACCCGGGCTCCTGGCCAGGAGGCAGCCTGCGCTTCGCTGCCGCTAAGTGCGGGGCCTCCGCGGGGGTCCAGTTTAAATTCCTCTCCTGTTTCTCAGGTGACGAATCTGAAGAATCGTCAAACATCAACTCCCCTTTGGATTTTTCAGCGTTCGACTTGGGTGAGAGCTGCTGGCCGCCCGAGGGGGAGCCGTCCTGAGAGCTGGCGGGGCTGGACCTCTCCCCCGCGCTGGCCTCCTCCGGGGACTCCGGTTCCTCGTGCTCCTCCTCCTCTTCCTCCTCATAAACGATGAGGCGAGGATGGTAAAGGGCTTCGTCCTTCTTAGTCTTCTCAGATATGCAATCCAGGACCCAGTCGGGCGTCACGATTTTAATGCTTGCTCTCTTTAAAGCACATTCATATTTCTCCTGCGGGCGAAGCACAAACACACACGGAAACAAAACCGCGGGTTTTATCAGATTTCCTAGAAGTACGCATTCGAAGCAAGAACTTTAGGAGAGGGACACAGCTCCTGTTGTTGCCACTTTTCGCAGAGGAGACAGAGAACACGCAATGCAACGAACCGTGTGTCAATGGTCTTAGGTCAGCCTCAGGTCTGCCGAATTAGCTTTTACAAAGGCAACTTTAGGTAACGCTACGCACAGCTAGGAATCCTAAGAGAGACTCTCAGGAACGCAGAGACTCTCAGGAACGCTAGGCGGCCTGCCGTCCAATCTGGTTGCCACTGACTGCCGCTCTGTGCAAAGTGTCCCTGAGGACGGGGCACCTTCAGGGCCACAGGCAGTCCTGGGAGTGCAGGGACGCTCCTCAGTCAGGTGGGTGGGTGTTTATCGAGCTCATTCTACCTAAGATACAAAGGCCACAACAATTCTCTGACCTAGCAAGGATTCTGACTTAGTTCTGGACGGAAGTTAAACATGCACAACAGAAATATAACAGAAACCCAGCACGAAGTCCCGTGGGCATAGGGCAGGGAGGCCTCGCTGGACGGCAGGGTCCGGCAGGGTCTGGCAAGGTCTGGTGGGAGCTGTGAGCTGGGGGCACTGGGCAGGGGCGCTGACAGGCAGGCAGAGGGCGCTCCTGCGGGGTAGAGGGCGGAAAGGAAGGAACGCCAGAGGGAAAGGGAGATGAGCAGGGCATCTTAAACGAGGAGTTACATGATAAAACGGCTTTTAAAATAAACAAGTTTGGAAACACGGCTCGGTTAACCGACAGAGTCTGACCCACCTGCTCTAAAGCCTCGGATAACAGCAATTCTCCGGAAAACACATCATTGGGGCCCTACACTTAAATCCACTTCCTGCTGTTGGCAGGGGGCCGGGCTGGAGGATCCCAGGGTCTCTCCCCAGCCCCACCCTCAGCCTTCAGCGGGGGTGAAGTGTTTACACCCAGAAACCAGCTCCCTCCTCCTGAGACTAATCAACCTACTTGGTTTTTCTATTGATTGTTATGAAATTCCTTCATTCTTCTCAATTTAAAACATTTTAAAAACTCAAGAATACAAAGGATAGTTTCATCATGCCATTTATATGTTTTCTCCATAACTTTATCAAAAAATGCAAAAACAAGAATTTGTTTTAAACATGCCATTTATTTTGTGTGTAGTCAGCTAGTCTGTTTGACAAATCCACTCTATTCAGATGCTGCCTCAAATTATAATCTGACTCTTCAAAAGTATTCTCATAGCTTTAAAAGTTATAAAGACTTCATTCCCCTTAAACTAGCTACCTAAAATCAAATGACTTATTTTTAGCCATAAATGAATACTGATATAAAAAGAAACCCTACACTATTCAACCAAAGCATACTACTTATCTTCAATTGTTATGTAAAATATAATTTTTTTACTCAAGTAGATTTTAAGACTCACCTCAAATTTTCAGAGTCTCCCCTTGGACTGTGCAGCTTACTAGGTTACAAGCAAACTCATGGGGCTAACAGGTTATTTTCTTGTCGGGAAATGAACATGAACAGCATGCATTTATGGGCCACCTCTGCTCCAGACGCCCTAGAAAGGGACCCTCTTGGCAGGGGGGGGCGTCAGCCTTCCACACCCCCTGTGCCCAGGCCCGGCCACACGCCTCCCACCCCTCCTGTGAGTCAGTGGCACTCGGGCGAAACATACACAGTGCTAACTCAGACTGAAGGCAACAAAAAAAGGAGGTAATGACTGACACGTGGAAACACTAGCTAGTCAAAAGGCTTTCCCTACTATAAATAGACTTAATTCTCAAACTTATAAATAATTGTTCATGGAGGGAAAAAAGCTTGATTTCCACACAACGGTCATTCTCAAACTTCATGTGCCTCAGGCTCCCCGGGCTCCCCCTTCCCTGTCAGGTTCTGATTTACTAGGTCTGGGGCGGGCTGGACAGACTGCGGTTCTAACAAGTCCCGGGAGGCTGATGCTGGTGACCTGGGACCCCACCTGGGACCCCCAGAGCCCTACGGCCCTCCAGTGCTTAGAGAGAAGAGCCCCGTGCTTAAGGAGATAAACGCAGTTTTAAATATTCCAGGTTATTAAGAAGGACAGTACACTAAGAACTTCACCAAATGCATGCTTATAATTATCCTCAGTACAAGCCTTTTAAAAAAATTGTGAAGAGGACTAATATGTATTTTCACAAAAATGAACTGAAGTTTCAGTGGACGTGAAAGGAAACTCTTAGAGATTCAAAAAACTGTCCTATTTTCAACATGAAATAAACCCAAATTTCTTTGTCTTTAAAAGTCACATCTGGCTCAAAACAAAATTTATAATCATCTCACATCGTTTGTGGAATGAAGCTGTGTATAAATAATATAAACGAATGTTATCAGCTTTTGTAAAACGGAATCCAGTTAATTTAAACGAAGTTCAAAGAAGATATCTGATTACTGGGAATACTTAAATGACATTCAAAAGGAGAACGTACATGGGACACTTACCCCCTTTGGTTCTGGAACAACCAGGTGCGTGCACTTCTTGTCGAGAGTCAGCTGGCAGCCCCCGCCATGGAAGGTGAGCATAGCCCACAGGGCGCTTCTGTCCTCAGGGGACACCTGGCAGGAACCAGAAAGCAAGCTTTCATCAGGAGGCTCCACCTCTGCTTACCTACTTGCTCACTTTATGATTAAAATACACTGTGACATCATAAAAATTTTGCTTTATCTACTTTCTCCCTTACTGAATGAAATTAACCTAAGGGTATTAGTGGGAAAAACAGATGAGCCTCTAGCTATTTGCTTGTTATAATAAAAACTTTTACTCCTATCGTGAGTTTTATAATCGTCACTTTTTTTGCCTTGTCACCAAGTAAATTGAAAAATACTTATATCCACACTCCAGAGATTGAATGGAGGATTATTTCGTTCTATAACAGAAATGATAGGAAAAAGAACTAGTACACCACTCCATCTTCCACCTGTGTCATTTTTTTAAACGTTCACATACAATAGTATCAAAATCATATTTAAGGAACTCCTTAATAATCAATGGATAACAAATACTAATTATGAAATGGATAAAATAAAAGGTAAAAATACAGTGGTGCGTAAGCTCAGGGGAAAACGTAAGTATCAAACACACAGAAAATAAGGCAAGCATAAAAGGAACAATTCTTATGCTTGCTGAGCGATGAAGTGGAGACTCCAGATGTAACGGCTCACGTGGTACAACAGGTTTCACTACAACAACCGACCAGCTACCATTTATTGCCTGCCTCCTATGTGCCAGGAACTGTGCCAAGGGCTCCGCGTCCACCCCTAGTCCCCGTGACCCGGTGGTGGGGTGCACACTCACAGAAATGACAGCTAGTAACTGGAAACCCAGACCCGGCTCCAAGCTGTATTTTCCCACTGCTCTAGACTGCTTCTCTAAGGGTGGTTACTACCAAACGTAATTACTAAAAAATAAATTTTAGTGTCTCAAAGACAAAAGAAACATTTAAGAAAAATAAAGGTGTTAATCCTAAGATAATCCTCTAAGTCCATTTTTTTCTAGATAACTTATAAACTGTGAATTATGGTTAAGACTTCTGAACTTTGTCTCAAGTTAATTTTTTTAAAGTGTTGACAAATAGCATGTTTTTTCCTTGTTAACTGCCATTATTCAGCCGGCCAAAAATCTAACATTCTATAGCTACTCTCATCCATTTCACAAATATTCCTAGAAATTATTTTGCATTCCATACTACTCTGTGAATACTAACAAGAACACACTAATTTTATAAAATCACGTTAAAAATCATTATCTTCTCTCTCTTTAATTTAGTAAGTCAGTGTCACATTTCAGGATACTGGATCAGAAGATGTTATTTTTCTTAGAGACTTTCACAAAAACATTTACATCCTGCAGCCTTTGGAGGTGAGATTTAATTACAAGGTAATACAGATTACTCTAATGAATCATTATATAATCTTTATTTAAAATGAAGGAAAACCCATAATCTAGATATGCCTTTATCACAAAGACTGGCCACCCATCAGTTAGGTATTATTTTTACTTCACTGACTGAAGTAACTTTAGTCCTGTACCCTGCTGGCCTGGATCCTGGCCCGGGTCTCAACAGGGCACAGGAAGTTGCTGTGGAAAGAACATCACATCGGGAAGCAGGGAGGCCTGGAATGGACACAGGGCCTCCAAACTCCAGCTAAGAGCAACTCAGAAAGCCTCTGAGAACCAGATTCTTCATCGGCGTACGTTTGGGTTAAATGACTGAGCGCGCGAACCAGCTCATTCAATGATCTGTATCAGCATAACTAGAATGCTCTTTCCACACCAAAATGTTAATGATAGTTACCTAGTGGTGACAGGATTATGGGGACATTTTAATTTTTATACTTTTCTGTATTTTCCAAATTCTCAAGAGCATTAATTTTATAACTGGGGAAAAGTGCTTTTCTTTTTTTTAAAAAAGTAATCTTCCTAAACTGCAAGTCTACAGTCTCAGCTAAGAAAGCCTGGATGTCTCCTCAACACCTTATGGCTGAGATCTGCAAGTTTCCAGGCGGTGTCTCGGGCCTTCCTGATCTGTGTGTGCCTCAGCCCTGGTCCTGCTCCCAGCTGCTGCCACACCTGCGCTCTGACCTGCGGCCCCTCACCTGAGCTGCTCTCCCTGCCTCTGTGCCCCGCCCCTAGCCTTGGCTCAGAGCCCACGGCCCCTGCACTCCCACAGCAAGCTGCCCCTTCTGAATGCGCACCTCTGTCCCAAGCAGAGGCCACACCTCCACCCGCACCCCTCGAGGAAGGGCTTCCCTCTGTGGCCCGGGGGCGCCCTCCTTCTCCAGGTCTCCCCGCCAGACACTCCTGGCCTGCAGCCCCACAAGCTCTCCTCGTCCCGTCTTGCTTGCGAGCTACCATCCTACCGACTGGAGCCTTAGGTGAGAATCACGTCCTCCACTTTGGTACCTTCGACAGGACCTAGTACAGTGCCAGGCACATGGGTAGGCAGTCAAGAAATATTTGTTGATTGAGATACAGAATGGAAAGGGCTTTGATCTTTTTAGTCCTCCAGATTTAAATGAGGACCCCGGCCAGGCTCTCCATCAGACTCGTGACCTGTCCCCGCGACCTACCCAGCACATTACAACAGAGGCCTCAGCCTGCATCAATACCGGCTCAGAAGAAGGCAGGTGATGTCTGTGCTTCCCAACTTCTGCTGGCACAAGCTCCCTTCCCTACCTCTCCCTGGAGAGCTCTGGAAGACTCCAACAAAGAGCTCCAGCTTGTATCAACACCCTGACGGGAAAAGACAGAAGGTCACTGAGAACCACCAAGCAAACAGTCCTTTCACAGTGCTGGAGCCCTGCCTGCCTGCCGTGTGCACGTGTGCATGTGCAGGTGCTCCAGAGGCCTACTAGGTGCAGGTTAACTGTCATGATCACCCCTCCTGGTACTGCTCCCACACCCTGCACCCGCTTCATCTCCACGTATGTGACATTCCCCTTCTGGACTGTGCCCTCACCCGAGGGGGGGAACTGTATCCTCATTTATCCGCACCCCTGGGCGTTGTTCCTGTCACAAAGCATCCTCACGTATTTGGTGAACCGAAGTCCTTTAGCTGCACACTGAACATACGTTTGTTAGTATGTCTCACAACTGAATTCACATTTTTTAGCAACCACAAAATACTAGTGTCCCCAGTGCACTTTTCTGAACCAGGGCTTCTTCGTATGAACTAGTATCAAGTAAAGCCTTCCCCAGTCTTAGCTGAATGATCTTTATTCAAATAAAGCAGAGCTTTCTTTTCACCATCACGAGTGGTGAACTGTGAGAATAAGTGTAGTAACTGACCCATAAAGATCATACCGACTCTGTTATTCCTAACGAATGTGCTTAAAAGGCTATAAAAAGGCTATAAAATTCTGCCAGAGCACTTCCTGCGTCCGCCTTGGTCCACTCCAGCCCCAGCCGCTCCCCACCCGGAGAAAAGCCTGCAGCCGGGCTGCTTCCCAGATGCCCGCACGCCCCCTGCTTCCTTCACGGGGTCCCCGTTCTCCTGCACTGACCTCACCTGTAGCTCCTCTGCCCAGAACCTGAGGTCCACCTAGACCCCTAAGCCTGTGTGCCAGCCACAGAGCCCCGCGCTGGCTGCTGTCTTCCCGCTCCCGGGTCACCGAGCAGCGCGGAGGGGCACCAATTGTCGCTCCGCACTGCTCCCTGGGGCCCTGCTCCGTCCCCGCAATAAAACCAACCACTACGTCTGACTTCGGCCCCTAAGCATAACACCCCTCCTCCGGCACCACCTTTACTTCCAGGTCCCCTTTCTCCCCGGATCTCCCCATAACCCCACACATTACGCAAGGCTCTATTCCTGACTACCTGCTCCCCTCTCTAGCCGCTCTGCAACAAAGCAGTAGCTCTCAGCCCCTCACGCTGCATCTCCCAGGCCCGACACTCGGACAGCGAGGGGCTTCAGTCCGACGTCTTCATCTTCCCTCAGAAGCCAGAGTCCTCTCTGTTTCCCACGTCCGGCAATGTTCCTACTTTGGAAAAGGAAGTCATCTGCCTAGTGGCCCCCTGTGGATCAGCCACCACAGGCTCTGCACGAAGAGGCCCCCTGTGAGCACCGGCTCCTCCCTTTGCACAGCATCCCCAAGTCACCAAGACCTTCCGATTCCCATCCGTTCCTTAGACCCACACCGTCGTCTTCTACACGTTGCTAACCTGGGTCCAAATCCTCATCTCAAGTCTACAGACTGTGACTGGCCCTCCTGTCCACATTCCCATCCTTACCCTGCCCTCTGTCCTGCTTAGAGCTCCCAGACCAGTTCCACCTACAAGACGGCAAATGATATTTATTTGCTTGCTTTTCTCCTGTGTTTTCCACATGCTCTAATGCCAATGCCTGCGTCTGCAATCCAAGATTAAATATACAAGAAGAACGGAACGGCGGCTACGTCATCGAGTTTCCCGCAGTCGCTGCCTGCCTGCGCGCTCGTTCTCCTTCCGTGCGCCCGGCCACACGGCCTGTCCTGAGGCCGGTCCCCTCGCACGAGCCTCTGCCCCCATCCGGCTCTGTGCCAGTTCTGCCCGTCGTCTCAGGCCCCCCACATCTTGCCGCCTCCACCAAGGCTTTCCTGACCCCACAGTCTACACCAGCGCCACCTTCTCTAAACTCACACCCAACACCCATGCCCCTGATTTAGCACATCCTGCATGTGTGCCGTGCGCACTAAAACCGCAGATGTTAAGTGTACTGCATAATTACCTATTACATATGCCAGAACCTTTGTGAAATGTAATCTCGGTTCTGTTTCTCTCCAAGACTGAAAGGCTCTCCAGTGCTAAACTCACAGTTAGCATTTAAACATGTCTAACCCCTAATTTTAACCCCTGTTTTAAATTCACATGCTCTTCATGTTCTTTTATATTTCCCAAGTCAGGTCCGCTAAGTACCACGTCACTATGACCCTGATCCCAGAAAATACCCACAGGACTCCCTGCCCCGGCTTCTTCCTCTCTCTCTGGATAGCGGGCTCTGAATCATGAACCCAGAAATCCAATCCATACAAATATAATTAAATGCAAAGTTTACATTTTAGCCACAGTACATTGTGTTTATGCATAAGGAGAAATAAAATATTTTCATTTTAAAAACTTTTCTGATATTTATTGTACATTTGGAACATACAGAGGAGTATAAACAATAAAAATTACATGTAACCACAGTACCCATCATGAGAAGATTTTCATTTTAGCCAACTTTAAAGGTCATCATGCAAATATACATTTATAGCAAAGATGTGAAAAATGCTGAAAAATACAAATACCAACAAAATTCTGGTTCTTAAGGGGAAAAAAAGCCAACTTTTCAAGGATCTCTATTAAATCAATGTAGCAAAAACAAAAAGAGAGGATTTTATCATTTTAAAGCACTTTCAGAATTTACGAGACATAAAAACACAATGACAAAATTCATTTTACTTATTGCTTGGACAGAGAAGGGATCATGGTGATACCGTTTGAATGAAAAGCTGAGTATGGCCGACAATCTAACAATATTAAGCTAATATTACCTGGTTCCATAATCCTCTACTACAAAGGTGTAAGAAAAAGGCAAGATTATAATCAAATTCCTTTTCGTCTCACCTAATATCCTTGATACATCCCTTTCTCAAAGGCTTCCACAGAGATGGAAGACTAAACGCCTTCTCAAAACTATCACCTTAAGCACTACAGACAGGGATGAGGCCTACTGAGGTCAGAGAAAATGGGAGCCCTCCCAACTGTGCTTCCTCCTGCCCAATGGCTACTCACTGTTCCATGTAACCTAAAAAGTGAGTTTAAACAACACCAAGCTGATTTTTCATAATAATTGTTTACTGTTCGAGGGTTTTTTACCTAGGGGGTTGAGAGGACAGAATACCATAAAACAATATTAAACATTCACTTCTCACACTACCCAGAATTCATTGCCGTTAACATTTTGGTCCCTTTTACAGATATTTCCTATATATTATATTTGGTTGATGTAATACTGTACATAACTGTTATATCCTGCTTCTTCCCCAGTTAAGACGTTCCCCACGTCTTTACATATATTCATAAAACAAAATTCACAACTGGCACCATAGCTAGATTAGTATGTAAGTGTATAGAACAGGTTTCTTAAACATTTCCAAATCGTGGATCATCTGTTTCCAAATTTACCCTCTTATAAATAAAGCTGCGCTGAACACCTTTATGCACCAATCTGCCCTCATTTCTATCAATTTGGGATAAACTTCTCAACACAAGAGCTGCACGGGAAGCAGAAAGAGTATTTTAGGGCTCTGGCCTGGCTCAACTTTTCTAGAAAACCCGCTGCGCTGAACTGCACTCCTGCTGGCGGAGGGGAGCTTGTCTGCAGCTCCGCCAGCACCGAATATACTGCTACAAACTTGATAAGCAGAAAATCTTATCTCAGCGCTATCAAGAAGTTCACGTCTTTGTTTATAAAGTGTATCAAATGTTTTGTTATACTTATTTGTAATTCCTCTTTATAGAAAGTTGTAAATTCATTTTTCTGCCTTATTTACTGAGGTCTTATTTTTTTCTATTATTGATCTGCATGAGCCCCTTATTTATTAATAAAATTCTCTGCCTTTATTTCTGAATGAATTTTCCTTGTCATCTTTTAATTTCATTTTTACTATGTTTTCATATTCAAGTTTTAAATCTTTGTAATCCTTTAGAAAGACCACTTTCACCCATTAAAGCTCTAAATCTTAAGACTAAGTATGAATATTTAAATCATTTTAAGTGTTTCATAAGGTCATACTGAATATGCAGTTTAGTAAATAACACTGGTTTACAAATACATCATAAAAAAATTCAGAACTGTTATGTGTAAATAACACAAGACTAATTGTACTATGCTTACCTGAGAGAGGCAGGCAGTGATTCCAAAGAAAATCTGACATGACTCTGGAGAAAAGCCATTTACTCTGTTTTACAGTTATTAAGATTCCAATGAGATGAGATTAGTGCAAGCTCTGTTTCACTAAGAGACATTTCCTATTGGCCCGTTTGGACATTGCCCACCCTCTGCTTCCCATTCAATCCATTTAGGAAAGAGACAGACTTAAGTTGACCAAAGAAGAGTGCAGGGCAGAATGGAAAAAAGAGAAGTTGACAGCACAGAAAGAACCTAGAGGTTTTCCGTAAAGTGCATTTTCAAATCCAATCTCTCCACTTATATCATCAATAAAATGGGCATAACATACTCATGGAAAAAACATCTAACTATATACACGTATATAAACACACACATGCCTATACATGTACACAACCACATATGGCATAGTGATCATTTTAAAAGCAAATTGAAGGTCTTAGGTTTACTTTAACATGATTACTTCTGTCACACAGCAGACTCTCATAAAAGAACTTGACTTCTGGTTTGATTACCATCATGAACTCTCTGAATTCAGGCAAGACAACCCTGAGCTTCAGTTTCCCCTTTGTTAAAACAAAGTTCGAATATGTAACTCCCAAGATTCTTCCCAATTCTAAAGCTCTGACTTTCAAATTCATTCAACACGTTTTCTGAGAGCTTACAGAGTGCAGACACTGGGCACAGGGCTCTCCATAAGCAGACATGACCTCTAGGTGCCTGTACTTTACGGTCTATTCAAAGCAAACATGACTTTTTTAAGAATCTGGAGTGTCTAGAATTCAAATGGGTTGAAGTATTACTTCTCTTTCCC